GGCACTGAGGTCCACTTTGCACTTTAATAAAACTTAGTACCAAATATTTTCTGTTAAAAATCATTTAAAAAACTTATTGGGCTCTCCTGCTTTACTACATCTCCAAGCACAGAAAAACGATCTTACAGTTTTAAGTCTCAGTGACCACTTAGATTAAGAATATAGAACACACGGATATGATGATCTCACAGCAGAGCTTGAATTCTGCTTAAATTAAAACCGTACCTAATATTCTATCACCAATTTACTCTCTCCTATCATTTTTGAAAATTCAACCATAGACCAAAATTTCATTACTCCAATAAAAAGTTTAGGATATTTAGGTTACAGTAATGAAAATGAATCCCAACATATTTTTTCTGAGAAAGAACACTCCAAATTGGAAAATATGAATTCCTCTTTTTAACTTAAGTTTTTGAAACTAACATACAAATGAAATGTAATAGATGGCAATTATTAAGCATTAAACTCCTGTCTTCAACTGTATTAGCACCCTTAATTTAGATACTTTAGAGTCACAGGGGAAAAGAAAATAAACTTCAACTTGCATTCAGATTGATTTTTTCCAAATTAAGTGCCAAGTGCATCAGCTTCATTGCACATGAGTGTGTGGAGACAAAATTGCTGATTAGTATCTATGATAGCATGATCTCTCTCTTTGCCTCTCACTGCTAAGAAGTCCTGAAGTTAACCTTGTCACATTCTATAAAATGTTAGCTTACATCTATTTCACAACAGCTATTGTTCAACTTTCAGGAAACATGTAACTTCAGTTATGAAGTAAGTGCCAAGACAGTTTATAGGAACTCAGACACTTCACTACAGGAAATGAGACGCCAGCTACGGTATGTATTAATAGTCACTAGCTCTATATTCTAGTACTCTCTAGATATGTGGTAAGAAGAGAAGTCAAGGTACTGAGCATGATTTGCCATATTAGGATTATACTCTTGGCCAGTGGTGGTGATGGTGGTGGGGGCGCGGGGAGGGTGTGATTGAAGACCAGCGATTAGAAGCCTGGCAGCCACATTCTTTCCCATGAGAAGAGCTGCGAAAGCAGGAGCAAATGCTCAGCCATCAGCAGTCTGTGTGCCTTGTCAGGGGACACCAGGGCCCCATCAGGGTTTGTTGAATGTATGCAAGAGATTAAGCAGAGCTTGCAAGATATTCAGACTGAGATACAGTCATCTGCAAACCAGTTTTCTTAAAGACCAATCTAAAAATACCAGGACTTAAGCACTCTGTTCAGTAAAACTGGGGGGAGGGGGAGGGGGGTGCAGATACCTGTGGGTATTACAAAATGTACTGTACAGTGAAAGGAAACATCTGAAAACAGTCATCTCAGTGCCTATGGCATAACAGCTAAACAAAATTGGGCACTGTATGAAAAACCTGAGACAAAGCAAGGTTACTGCCATCAGAAAAGGATGTAGCTCACAAAAAAATATTTGTTAATATTGAACGTTAAGTCCAGTAAGTCTTTATGTCACACAGATATGGATTCAATACGATGTACAGTAGTCCCCCTTACCTTCCAGGGATATGTTCCAAACCCCCAGAGGGTGCCTGGAACTGCAAATAGTACCAAACCCTATATATACTATGTTTTTTTCCTATACATATACACCTATATACATTTTATGGCTTCTCTTTGGCCATACCCAGATTACCAGCATCGCTACTTTTACGCTTTGGAGCCATCATTAAATAAAACAAGGGTGACTTGAACACAAGCCCAGTGATACTGGGACAGTAGATCTGATAACCAAGATGGCCACTAAGTGACTCACAGATGGGTGGCATCTACAGCATGGACATGGATACGCTGGCTAAAGGGAGGAGTCATGTCCTGGGCAGGACGGAGAGGGATGGCAGGAGATTTCATCAAACTTCTCAGAATGGCATGTGATTTAAAATTTATGAATTGTTTCTGGAATTTTTCCATGTTTAATATTTTCAGACCATGGTTGACCACAGGTAACTGAGGCTGCAGAAGCAAAACCATGGATAAGGGGGGATGACTGTGAACCCTTCCAGAGAAGAGCAGGCTCCCATGGGGTGGAGTGAGCTTTCTTCCAAGAGTAAAGCTCATCAACATATCAGGTGAAAACAACTTTTCATTTAAGAGCTCCTATTTTATTCTTCTGATGAGTTTAACCGACATATTGAGAATAATTAGAAGTTCCCATCTACACAGTTCAATTTTCAACTTGGTCAATTTAGCATTTCTATTAACAGAGAAAATTCAACCCTTCACCACCAAAGAGCTAGTAAATGGAGTACCTTACAGAAAGGCCAGCTCCTGGAAACCCTGCTGTTGAACAATGAGATGTGCTAGCAGGCACAAAGGAAATCTCAGTGGTTTCAGATTATGGCTGAAAAAGCAGAAACTGCTTTCTAGTTGAGCACTTTTCACACATCCTTGCTAACAAACAACAAATTCATCAACTCCTCTAGTGCCTCTTGATTTTATTTTAGCTGAGCCATCCTGCCACCTGTTGGCAGCTCTGCAGCAGCTCAGCTCGGGCTGGGAATCGAACCGCTGTTGCTCAGAACTCACACTCCTGAGCAAGCTCTTAACCAACTGAGCCACTCGGCTAGCCCAGTGCCTCTTGATTTTAAAACAAGGTTGATCTCTACCAGTTAATGAATTAGTTTTAGATTCTAAAACTGTAACCATGGCACAGTACTGTTTGGTAGCCAAATTCTTATCTTTCAACAACAAAATCTAATATTCTTTTTGATTAGAAATTGGATTCTCTTATCAGTATTACAATCATGTGGATTTCATGTCACAGGATCTACTTCAGAATGTGATTCACTCACTGGAATTCAGGATTTACATTGAATTTCTGGCAAGATTACTACTAGTTCCTTCAAATTTGACTCTGACCGGAAGGTGAAGACAAACAGTGGACTTCTGCTAAAAATACTCTTATCTTCCTCTTATGCAAAGGTAACTCTTTTAGTATAAGCAGTAGAAATAAGCAGCACATGTTTTGAACTCAAATACTAATACAGCTTTCATTCCTTCTATGGAAGGAAAATAGGAGCTAAATAATGTCAGTAAAGTGAAGAAGTTACATTTGTACTTGCCCCCAATGAACACTCAGCACATTATTTCTTAAAATTAAGGTTGTTTAAAATAAGACTGCACTTCTTGCCAGATGCAGCCATTTATTATGGTTCAGACATCCCTGCTCACTGCTTTAGTGCATGTAAGGTCCTGGCATAGAGCAGTTTCTCCACCTCAGCATTACTGGCATTCTGGGCCGGATAACTCTTTGTTGTGGGGTTGTCCTGCTCATGGGAGGACATTCAGCAGCCTCCCTGGCCTAAACTCACCAGATGTCAGCAGCACCCTCCCTACTCAGCTGAAACAACTAAAAATGTCTCCAGACGGTACCAAACATCCCCCGGGGAGCCAAATCACCCCAGGTTGAGAACTACTGGCACAAAACATAACTAGCCAAACAATGAAACAAGATTGAGACTTAAAAGTTCCTTAGTCTTTTCAATGATATTTCAAATAGCTGTATATCCCAAATCCTCATATGACTAAACAGAATTCAATTTCTGTAAACAGCAATCACAAAAACCCAATTTTTTGTGAAATCACAAAAACAATTTCAGTGTTATGTATAACTTAAATTGTTTCAACTTCCAATCTCTTAACTTTAGGTAAACTTTTAGATTTAACCTTTTAATTTAAAAAGTTTTAATCTGAGGCTTTGATTTTAAAATTTCTAACTAGTTAATGGAAATGAACCTTTATCTCTGTACCCAGGGTTGACCTTATGTCAACTGAGGAAGACTGTTTCTGCCAGTTTCAAAAGATGAAGTCACTGCAAATCTCAGGTCTGCTCTTGGAGAGGGAAGGGGGCAGCAAGAGGCCCCTGGTGCCAAGTCCGCTGCAGAGCTCGGGGCTCTGGCTCAGCCCCATGTCTCTGGCCTGGGCTTCTGCCACAATGCTGAGTACCTGACAGTGAGTCACTGCTGAGCGCTTCTTCTTAAAGCATGTCCTTCTTCCTATATGCACTGGGTCTTTCCTTTATTCAAAACATCCATCAACATTAATTTAAACAAAGAGCTGCTTCTGCATATAAACAACTATTTTTGTCTTGTCTATGGTTTTGTTATTGTTTAAAAAAAGGCTTATTATTTTTTATTTCAGAGACTGGCCTGAAATGGAAGCATACCTACTAATTCATTCGATCAAAATTCTCCAAAGGATGTGAGGCTCTAGAGCACAAGTCGTCAGCACCTTTATATATATATATATATATATATATATATATATATATATATATATATATATATATACACACACACACACATACATACATACATATATATATGTATATATATATATACACATATATATACATATATACACATATAGCTACAGATACACTTACACATTGTGGAAAATAGATGCTGACTTGCCAATGATCTACTCTCTGGCCTTGCAGGCAACCACTCTATCTGATGCACAGCCTTATAGAGAATGAGAACATGGAGACAAAGATACTCTCAGGAACATTCCTTCTTCTTTTTTAATGTCTCCCAAGAGAATGGAGCCAAATTATTAGGTTTATTCCTCCAATTTCCATGGAGACAGCACTTGGTCCTCTTGCACATAACTTTACTCAGGTTTAAAGACAGTTGTTAAAGTTTTTGATTTGTCTCATAGTCTTTTAGTTCTCCAATAATCACAGTTCATTTATTATACTCTAATTTAGATACAGAGAGCCAATTAAAGAAGGACACGAAAGCTGCCTGTCCTGTTTAGGGTAATCTTACATGCCTATAGAAAAAGGACGCATGTGCGCACACAACCACGCAATAGTATTTCCAAAAGTGCACAACTTAAAATGCTTGTTACATCTCATGTAATGCTGTCTTCCAGATACAAGGAACCATAGTAACTATATCTCTGAGAAGAGTAGCCCCTACACGTTACTACCAGCTTATTGGGTATAATCATAACAGATACATACCATCGAAACTACCTTGCTCGGAAGCAATGTGTAACAGCTGATTGTAGGTTTCAACTGAAGGCTGATAAACAAAGACTCCAGAATTGAAGCAATCAGGCCACCCTGGGTCTGGGGCTGCTGACAATTCTTCTCTCTCAAAAAGGTCATCAATATTTGCTAGGACCTGATTAAAAGAGGGGAGAGCAAAAGCATTACAAAAATGTTCTCTGCAGCTTACCCTTCTTACGTTCTCCCTAAGGTATCCAACACAAAAGATGCAATCTGTTGCTGATCTTAAATATTCAGATGACTGCTGGAAGGCAGCTTGGGCCTAGAGTCTTTCATCACCTGGCATTTTTGACAACAGTGGTTTTATCTGAACTTTACTGTCACGTCTTGTCAGCTTTCCTCAGATGTCTAACAGTTACTGTACACATCTTTTGAGCCATCAAAGTCACACTCACCAGAGTATCTGCATCCATGAACACACACTTTGAATACTGTGTAAGGGACCAGCAGTGGAGTTTAGTTAATGTAACACCCAACTCAGGCCTCTTCATTAACGTTAGATGAGCAGAATCGCCACTGTCCAAGACGTCTACCATGATGACTTCATCAAAGACAGTCTCTAAAACTTTTCTGTCAAAATAAAATTTAAAAAAACAGCAGTTAGCATCTTTTCAGAATAAGTGGCATCTAATGCAAGACTGCATTCTTACTGGCCTTTCCATCAAGTATTACAACAATTTGTTTCTTTGGTATAGTACAATCTCTTAAATATGTCCTAATTTGCTTCAGGACAAAGTATGTTAATTTGCTTGCTCAGTTAAGTTGACTAAAATAATAATAAGAACCATTTACAGTGAGGCTGAAACACTTGTCTTAAAACATTATTACAGAAGTTTTTTTTCTTGGTTTTTTTTTTTATTGTATCATTGAATACCAGACAAATTGTGGAAGTAGCATGTAAAAATGTAACTTGCATTTCATAAGAGTACATCTTTGCAATAGTCTATGTATTTAACAATCTCATTAGAACTGATTCTTGCTGACTACCACATATTTTTACAAATGACGCTAAGCACACATAATGCCTGCAGTGAAGCCAATTACTAATCATTTTTGCCAAAGCAGTTGACAAAGAACTGTGTGTCTCAAAAGAAGTTAAAGGACTCAGTTACTCGGCTGTCATTTTTTAGAGTAGAATATAATCTAGCACAAAGAGACTCACTTTGGTTTGTGAGGTACAACACTTCTCCACGCCCAAAGTAAACTAAAGATTTATTTTAGAAAGTAATCTTGAGGTGGGTTAAGGGGGGTATACTTAGGTAAGACACTAATCTCAGCATAAGTGAAGACATGATCAAGACAGGTCATCATTGAAACTTTGTAATATTAAACATGCAGAACAAAGCTGGTATTGTATTTAATCTGTCTCCAGAGCTGTACACAGTAAGCTTGATCTTTTTGAAAAGAAATGGTCGGTGGCACCTTTCCCACAGTAAAGGGGTGGGGCAGAGGGGAAACTAAGACCACATCTGTCTTCTTACACACATCCTCACTAAATAAACTACAAATCAGGACATAAACATCAGGAGACAATCTTGGGCATTTTCCTAAATTTCCCTTTAGGAACAAGATTGTTAGTGTATATGTATATATTTATCTCCTCCTTTTCAGAGGTCTTTGGAATGTGTGTACATATTTTGAAAAAAGTCACAAAAAAGGTGTTTTCAATTTCTAAGAGGGATAGGAGAACGCAAAAATAAACACAATACAGAGTGGCTAGTGTGCCCAAATATGTTTAAAGTTAGTATGAGGAACTAGGTAGTTCAGTCAGATGCTGCAAAATTTAATTCCAAGACATCAACGTGAATTAACCCAGTCAACAAGCAGCTTGTGCCCTCAGGGTGCTCTCACAGCACAACCCAAGTTCAGAAAGCCCTTTGGCAAATATACTAATTTATTAAATTGTAAATAAAGATCTTTAGGTTACAAATGTCAACTGGCAGTGGAGAAAACTGCTACTTTCTTTCAAAGTCAGTGCAGGTCGCCTGGCTTGAAACAGGAAACAAAGTAGCCCCTGCTGCATTTTGGGAAAGGAGTATATGTGAAGTGTGACTACATAAAGGGAATGCCTGGGCTGAAACCCTCACTCAGGTCACCCTGGAAGGACTTTCTGAAGGGAGAGTCCTTCTATTCCTCATTAGAATCAGTAAGAGCATCAGACAGAACACACCCTCACAGGGGACAGCTTGGTTGGAGTATCTTCCGAAAGCTAGGAAGAGGTTTCAGACCCAGGAATTCTTCTCAGCAACTCTCATCTTTCTCCACCTGGTGCTCAAACCCTGAAAAGAGTATGGCCTCACCGCCCACTGATGCCAGAACTGGGAGAGGGATGTCAGAGTACCACCACAGACTCTCAAGAAACAAGGTCCTCACCTCATGGAGTCTGAGACCTGCGGGGTGGTGAGCACCACCAGCCTCCTGGTGGTTCTGTGGTGCTTCAGAGATGAGCCCAGGACCAGGGCTCCTTTGGCGTAGGCATCGTTTGTGGTCAGTGTCACAAAGGCCTGATCTTAATACAAAGGAGGGGGGAAAAAAGCTCATTATAATGTCCTACCTAGAAAAAGCTATCCCAAGATCCCTTGTAACCAGTAATTTGGCAAAAATCAGCTCCTCTATCAACCTGCTCTAATTTAAGAGTCCAGACAAACTAAATTCTCAGACCGCTTAAAACCTAGAGGGTAAACCTCAGGCAATTAACAGGTGTTAATGAAGAGATCAAGGAATACAAGTTCTATTTCTCCTATAAGGTACCATAGGGAATATTTTCGCTTGGCACAAATCTAGCAGATAACTCCATGACCCCAATGGAGAGCATATGAAAGCAGAGGCCATATTCCCCATTCTGGTGCTTACATTTCTGCCAAGCCTCTGGCTTTTTATTCTGTTTCCTCAACCTGGAGTGAAGGCCACCCCCACCACCCTTCAAGAGTCACTTTGAGTCTCTGCTCAAATGTCACCTCCTCAGAGAGGCCTTCCCTCCTAATGCTTTTATCTAAATAGTGGCCAACTGCTGTTAAATAGATTTAGGGACCACCTCACCAGGTCTAACAAACCTATCTCCATGTCCTTGGAGAAGCAAGCAGTGCCCTTACCTTGTACCCTGGGTTTCCCCAACCTATATTTTCTCCCTTCCTCCCTCCCTCCCTTCCTTCCTCTCTCCAATAATCACTTAATTGCTGGGACAAATGGCAAACATAAGGGTAATTCTTCCCACTGGACAAGCCCCACCCTCCCAACACCACCAGCCCAGGCACTAGGATTTCTCCAGTCCTTCCCTGGGGTGATTCTGGGGCACACTCCGTCTCTGAGGGGATTTTAACACGAGTAATTTGGGGGGTATCCAAATGTACAGGATACTTAGGATCAAGCTCTGGCAGGGGTCACTTAGGGGCACTTTTGACCAAGCAGGAGTTGGGACATTTTGTCACAGTCACTCTCTTTCTGTTTTAGGTGTCCTCATTCTCCCTTTGCCCATTTTCCAACGTGGAGGGCAGAGGCAGTGGAAATTCCGTTGAGAAGTGAGAGGAAATCGTAGGTTGTCAAGTGGGCCAGCACATCCCTAGTCTCTGATCTGAGGGCCATCTTCACACATAATACTGGACTCTCTTCCAGGGCAGGCCCACTATTAAGCTGTGGAAAGACTGGCGTTCCCCACCCCTGGAGGAACACCAGCTTCCCAGCCAGTCACACTCTAGGAAAGCTCGGAACAGTGACACTTGCCACTTGACATGCCCATCAGCCTGTGTACTTGTTCATTCAACCCATCATAAGATGGCAACATGTCAGCCAGTCTGCCCCAAAGGCATTAATTTGGGGCATAATAAATGATGTTTTAACTCCAAAACTGTCAAGATTCCGGGGATCATGAAGCAAAGTTGAAAAAAGTAAGTAGGATACAGGAATTTCAGGAAGCAATCCTACGGATGACTTCCAAGATGAAGCAGGTGACAAATGCTTAGGAGCATGGGCTACAGCGCCAGACCTAGCAACCATCACAGATGAACAGAAAAGACCAATGACAGTTGGGAAGGAGTTCCACCTTCCCAGAGATGGGGTACATCTGCAATCTTTTGCAGTTCATTCGCTGTAATATCCCCCGCTATCAGCCTCAACAACACGGGAAAGGGCAGGTACCTCGGAGACTCCGGTCCTGCGGCAGATTCGCCTTGCCGCCCGGACACCTTGCAACAAGTGGGCCGACGCCCTCCCACCGCGCGGGGCCCGCTCCCGGGAGACGCTCCTCGGGCTCGGGCTTCCCGAAACCCGGCCACACCAGCCTAAAAATAGGCTCGGAGTGACAGCCAGCGCCGGGGCTGTCGGCCCAAGAGCCGGGCCGGAGCCTCCGGAGCCCCTGCCTCGCGGCCGCCCCTCCAAACATTCCTGCCTGCGCGCAGCGGGGGCGGCTCCTGCGAGCCGCCGCGCCCCCGGCCCGGAACCAGCGCCCGGGGCGCCGGCTCCCCACCCCCACTCAGCCCCGCGCCGCCGCTCCGCCCGCCGGCCCGCCCTTCACGGTGAGAGCAGGAGGAAGGGCAAGGAGACGGAAGCAGGAACGGGGGCTTCGGCGGAGGCCCAGGCTCTGCCTGCCTGGCGGAGCCCACCGCTGCGTCCCGGCTTCCAGGGCGCCCCGGACCCCGGGCCGGCCGGGCAGCCGCTGACGCAGGAGGCGCCACGCCCGGCTGCGGCCAGCCTGCAACTTCGCGGCGGTCCTGGTCCTGCGGGGCATTCCCCCGAGGCCGAGAAGCGGGGAGGCGAGGAGGGGCGGCGGGGCCGCGCGGGGCGGAGAGCCGCAGGTCCGGGGCCGGTGGGCGGCGCGGCGCGTACCTGCCATGGTGCTGCCGGGAGGCGGGCGGCCGCCGCAGCCGCAGGTTGGAGGCAGAGACGAGCCGGGCGCGGGGAGAGCGCGCAGCCAGCGAGGAGGCGCGGCAGGAGCGAAGCGTCCGCCCCGAGCGCTCTTATAGCGGCCGTCACGTGGCCGCGCACGCTCCGGGCAGCCTCCCCACTCGGCGGCCCGCGGGGGTGGCGGCTCGTGGGACGGAGGGAACCCGGCTTCCCCTCGCGCCCCCGCCTCGGTGGTGGCTGAGCTCCGGGCCCAGCTCCCGCGGGACACCTGCCTGGGACCGCGCGCCTCCCCAGCCGGGGATTCAGATGGAGACTCTCGGGCAGACGGTGGCATCAGTGGGAACAAACTCCCGAAGAAACCAAGGGTTCGGGAACCTTAAAAAACGAACCAAAACCCCAGATCACTCTACTTGTAATAACTCATCTGAACTGCTTGAATTAAACATAAAGTTTAATTACACTTTTTTTCACCTAGAATTCTGAATCAGCCCCTGGAAGCGTTTCTTAAAAGTGTTCTCACAAAGGTTTTGTGGCTTTGACAGAAAAACAGAATGAATTTTCAGTATATTATTTAGATTCTTGGCACCCTCTGCCTCAATTAGATATATAAGTTTCATTTAATCCTCCTACAAACTCCATGAAGTCCTTAGTTTTACAAATATGGAAACTGAGACGCTGAAAAGTTAAATTACTTGCCCAGGGTCATACCACGGTATGTGGAGAAGGTAGAATTTGAACCGCGGCAGTTGGGTTTACAGAACTGACCTTCCTACCCACAAGGCCATGACATCTCTGTTACACTGGTGCCCTGAAAAGGTTAATAAATTAAGGTAACCGGTTGAGTAATATGCTGGTTTAGGGTAATCTGTTTCACAAATCATGAGAGCGTGAATCTGTCATTTTTCTCGGAAGTTGAGAAATAGCTGTCTAATGTGATCACACCCATCTCCTCTCCCATCCCTTCTACCCAGCCCACACACACCAGGAAAGCAGCAGGTAGTAGAATTCCCTGCAAACAATAGTTGCTCAGCATGTGCTGAATGAAAGCCAGACAGGAAATTGACAACATCAGTTTAAAAAATGAAATGGATGCTTAAGAATAAGAGATTTATTGCAAAGGTGGTATTGCTAATCTCAAACCAATTATATCATTCTTTCCTCAAGTGTAGGCCTGGACTTCCTACATCAGAATTACCTGGGGCACTTGCTAAAATGCAAGTTTTGGTCCTAAACTCAGACCTCCTGAATCAGAATTTTAAGTGTAGAAGTCAACAATCAGCATTTTAAATATCACCCTCCGGGAGACTCTCTGGAATCCTTCTCTTCTCCTCAACCCACACCATAGCATGGAGACCACTGATATACTTGGGAAGACCTCCTGCTTGCTTGGCATGAAAAACTTCCTTTGCAAGAAGTGGAAACGTGGGGGCAAAGGTGCAGTGGACGGTTTTCCATTTATTAAAACCCTGTAGTGTTAGAAGAGTTGGAGCTCTTTAAGGAATATACAGACTATACTTGAATTGTACCTACCTGGGAGAGGGAAAACAGGGTGGTGCTTCCAAGTCTGAATTGTTCCTTTCCATAGGATACGTGGACCAGGAAGAGGAAGGTTTCCATCTTTCACCCAGGAGCCCTGCAGCCATCAATGACCCTTAACCACCTGCTGCTTGAAGCCCAAGTGTCTAGGCTGGGCTTCCACAGGGTGTGGTGCTGGACCCCAAAAGGGCAAAGCTAGGAGGAAGAGCTGGGGACAACCAGAACAGTAGGGAAGCTTTCCTTAGGAACAAGTTTATTTTCCACCCACAGGGGGTTTAAGTAAAAGTGGTCAGCATAGTCATCTTTCTGTGTCTCATGCATATTTACAGAAACAGAAAGATGATAGATTTACCACTTTGAATCAAATAGAAACACTTAGAGGTTGCTCCAGTCTACTCTTACATGTGGTCTTAATCCACATTACCAGTAGTGACCCACTGCCCAGTTATCCTGAGGCTGCTCTGTACTGAGCTTCAGTTGGGTATGAAAGCAAGACCCCTGAAACATTAGTGAGCACAGATTGCCTGGGGATCTTGTTACAATGCAGATCCTGACTCAATAGTTTGGGGTGGATCTCTCAGGTGACACCCAGACTTGAATAGCGAGGCGTTCGAATATTCTGGATGCTAAGGCTTTGGAGGTAGTAGATAGACATACATGTAATGAGACAAACATTTGAGACTTTAATTTGTTAAAATTTTTTCCCCCATGAAATATGAGCTATTGAAATTTCTGAATCCTGAAGTAAAGATTTATGTTAAAAAAGAAAAGCTGTCCTCTACATGAGTACGTATAACTATTAACCATTTAAACCTGTGCTAAATGTGTATATTCAGGATGGTTGGTCCAAAATTCATTTTTAATTGGCTTTGGAAAGCATTATGTAATTTTTTGGCAGGATACTTACCTTCCTAATTATGTTTTGTTTTAGCTAATGCTGAAATCAGTTTGTATTCCCTTGAGCACACACACTAATTGATGGTGGGAGCAACTGACCTGGAAATACATTCCGGAGCAGAGGGCAACCTGCTGACCTAAGACACAAACAGTTCCCACAGACAGTCCATGAAATAGATACACCATATCTGGCCGGTCATAGGAACTCAAGAGTTAACTACTTAAAATTTTTCCCTTAATTGATAACACACAAAATCTGTACCTGAAATTGTTGCCAGTGATCACAACCCTGTCCAATTCTAATCAGAAGCTTAGTTTCAAGAAATATTATCCTTGGAGGCCTAAAGTAGCTCATTCTTCAGTCGAGAGCTGGAGTCCCAAACGCCACAAATTGCAGGGGCCTGGTGACTAGTTACATTGTCTTAAAAAAATATTTATTGAGATATAATTTACATACCATAAAATTCATCCACTTAAAGTATACAATTAAATGGTTTTTAGTATGTTCACAGAGTTGGGCAAATCTCACCACAATCTAACTATAGAACATTTTCATCACTGAAGAAGAAACCGAAAGCCATTAGCAGTCACTCCTCATTCTCTTCCTTTCCCCCTCAGGCCTTAAGTAACTACTAATCTACTTTCCATCTCTATAGATTTGCCTGTAGGTATGCGTCTATATGTGGTCTTTTGTGACTGGCTTCTTTCACTTAGCATGTTTTCATGGCTTCCTCATGTTGTGGCATGTATCAGCATTTCATTCTTTTTTATTGCCAGATACTATTTCATTACTGTATATGTATATACCACATTTTGGTTATCCATTTCATGGGTAAACATGTTAATGGACATTTGGATAGTTTCTGCTCTTTAGTTGTTATGAATAATGGTGTACTGAACATGTGTGCTCAAATTTTTGCACAGATATATATTTTTCTTCCTCCTGATATAAACCAAGAGTGGAATTGCTAGATCATAATGTTCCTCTATGTTTAACATTTCAAGAACTGTCAGACTGTTTTCCAAAGTGTCTCCCTCATTTTGCATTCTCACTAGTAGGAAGGTTCCAATTTCTTCACTGCTGAGCCAATACTTGTTATTGATTTTTTAATACAGCCATGTAATGGGTTTGGAGTGGTATCTTATTGTGGTTTTGATTTGCATTTCCCTAATGACTAGTGATGTTGAGCATCTTTTCATGTGCTTATTGGCCATTTGACTATCCTCTTTGGAGAAATGTCTATTTAAATCCTTTATCCATTTTAAAAAATTGGGTTGGTTTTTTATTATTGTTTTTAAAGAGTTCTTTATATGTTGTGGATATAAGTCATTTATCAAATATATATGACATGCATATATATGATATTTGCAAATATATTCTCTCATTCTGTGGGTTGACTTTTCATTTTCTTGTGTGTGTGTGTGTGTGTGTGTGTGTGTGTGTTATGTGTTTCAGCACAAAAGTTTTAAATTTCTACATGGTCCAATTTATTTATTTTCCTTTGTTGCTTGTGCTTTTGGTGTCATATCTAAGGAACCACTGCCTAACCAAAGGGCTTAAAGATTTATCCCTATGTTTCTTTTAAGAGTTTTATAGTTTTAGCTCTTAAATTTGTCTTTAATCCATTTTGAATGGATTTTTGTGTGTGGCATGAAGTAGAGCTACAGCTTCCTTTTTTTGTATATGAACATTGAGTTGTCCCAGCACCATTTGTTGAAAAGACTATTATTTGTCCATTGGATTGTCTTGGCACCTTTTTTGAAAATTAGTTGACTATAAATGTGACAATTCTATTTCTGGACTTAATTCTACTCTATTGATATGTATGTCTAGCCTAATGCTAGTTCAACACTATCTTTTTTTTTTTTTTAATTGAGGAATTGGGAGAGGGGAACAGTGTTAGGGAATTGGGGGAGGGGATCAGCCAAGTTGTTGTACTTCAATCTTCGTTGTGGAGGGCGCCAGTCGCCATCTGGCTGCTCGTGGCCTCTAAGCTCAAGGTGCTGTGTTCAGTCTTAGTTACAGGTGGGCATAGCCACCATCCCATGTGGGAGTCAAACACAGCAGCCTTGTTGTTAAGAGCACACGCTCTATTCACTGAGCCATCTGGTTGGCAGCTCAGCTCAAGGTGCCAAGTTCAGTTTTAGGTGCAGGCGGGTGTAGCCCACCATTGAACAG